GAAAACTGGTACTTGTACACAATGGAGTTTTACTCAGCTGTGGAGAAGAATGAAATCTTATCATTCTCAAGTAAATGGATGGAACTGGAGAACATCATTCTGAGCAAGGATAGCCAAGCTCAGAAGACCAAAAATCATATGTTCTCCCTCATATGCAGACTTTACATCTAGAGCAACTATAGCAATGTTGTTGGACTTGGGTCACACGCTAAGGGGAGAGCACATATGGGAGGAATGGGGATAGGTAGGAAACCCAACACATGAAAGTGTTATATGTCCCCACTGCAGAGGAGCTAATACCGTAACCTTAAAATGACAGAGGTTAATATAGGAAGGTGACTGGAAAGTAGTGAAAAGATCAGGTATAGATGAATCAATTTGGGTTGTAATATGCTTGTGCATGGCACCCATGCTAGGTATCTCTCTATATAGATACCTAGTTTATCTAAACTAGCAAAAATGCTATGTCTTTCTTATTATTGCTTATGTCTACTCTTTAACAAAATTGGAGAAAGGGCAAAACAGGTTCTGCTTGTAAGCAAGGGGGTGGGGAGGAGAGGATGGGGATGGGGTGCAGGGGGGAGAAATGACCCAAACAATGTATGTACATATGAATAAATGAATTTAAAAAAGAAAGAAAACAAACAACAAGTGCTAAGAGGATAGGGAGAAAACTGACTCTGTACACTATAGGTGGGAATGTAAATTAGCCAAACCACTATGGAAATCAGTATGGAGAGTCTACCCTAAATGTAGAATTACCATATGATTCTGCTATACCACACCTGGGTATATACCAGAAGGAATCAAAGTTGGAATACAATAGAGATAACTGGATGCCCTGTTTATTGAGCCAATAGTCATAATAGCAAAGTTACGGAATAAGAATAGGTGGCCATCAAAAGACTAATGGATAAAGAAAATGTGGTATAAACATATACACAATAAAGTATTATTCAGCCATAAAAATAATGAAATCATGTCAGTAGCAAAACAAAATGGGTGAAACTAAAGATCATCATGTTAACTGAAATAACATAGACTCAGACAGACAAATATTGCATGTTTTCTTTCAGAATCTAGATTTAAAAAGAACATGACATGAAAGTAGGAGGTAGACTATTTGGGAAAAGAAAGGGACCATCATGAAAAGGAAGAGAGACTTAAGAGGGTAATGGGGATGAATACAATCAAAGTACATTGTGTACATGCAAGAAAATGTCATAATGAAGCCCATTATTTTGTAAGTATATATGCTAAGAAAAAGAAATGGCCATAGAATATTAGAATATATTGAACAGAATATAACTGAAAAAGGATTTTTATTCAGAAAACTGAATAAAATTAGACACTTAAGCAAAAGACTTGACTATGCCCTTTGAAAAGAAAGAATAAAAAGTATACACCAATGACCAACATACACATAAGCGGATCCAAGTCTCATCAATCATGAAATGTAAGTTGAAACCACAGAGGACAATTTTTACATACCAATAGAAAGGCTAAAACTCAAACTTAAAATACCAGTGTTGGTGAATATGTGGAGCAACTTAAGCATGTATAAACCTCTGGCAGGAGTTAAAATTAGCATAACCACTGTGGAAAATTATTTGGAATTATCTAACAAAGCTGACCTACCAAGAGCTATCTGATCTAAATATACCCACAAGTGTATATGTATGCTCACCAAAAGAAATGTACATAAATATCTATAGCATAATAATTTTTAATAAGAAAGGCAGGAAATAATCCCCATATTCAATATGTTAGTTTTAATAATTAAAAATATCAACATTAGAATGGTTAGGTATATTTTATATTCATACATTTAGAATGCTGTGTTGTAATGAAAATGAATACTGAGACTAAGGAAAGAAGTAGGAATGAATCCCACAAATATAATGTTTAAGGAGAACGAATCAGACACAAAGAGAACATACTGGAAACTTTTTCAAACAAAGCTAAAATGTAGGCAAAACTAATCTATGGAGATAGAAGTTGAAGTAGTAGGTACCCAGTATAAAAACAGACCGGGGGCATGAGAGCCTTGTGGAGTGAGGCCAATGGTCTAGTTCTTCATCTGTGTGCTGGTCAGAGGAGATGTTCACTTACCAAACATTCATTAAGCTATGCATTCTGATGTTGGCACTCTCCTGTGTGTGTGTGTGTGTGTGTGTGTGTGTGTGTGTTATTTTGATAAAGTGATTACCCATATAGAAGTCCAAAATTCAAAGAGAAGTAAAAATAGATTCAAGTTATAAAAACTTTGAGATAACAAAAGGAAATCTCGTGACAAGCCATTCCACTTTACACATACATATGCACACATCCTCACACTCATACATGTGCCACTATCTCTTTTACCAAAAAAAAAAAAAAAAAGACATTTGGGCTGCTTACTTCAAGCCAAACCTCTTCATCCTTTTCCAAGCTATCTTCTGGCTGCTCCTTGCCATTATCATGGAATCTTTTTCCACTTGCAACACAGGGAAACCAGCCAGCCAGAAGATGGTTCTTCAGTAAATCTGGATGGTAGGAAGTACAAATCTGAAATGCAATTTCAACCAAAAATTAAGGATGGAGTGTGAGAGATAAATGAAACTCTCCAGGGCAAAAACCAAAGTTTTACTCTTTGAATACTTAGTGATCACATTTTTGGCAGAAAAACCTTTCTCAGTGTAGAATTTCTTAATGTTCTCTGTTAGCCTCAAGACATAACTTGCCAGAGCTGAAAGATACATCATCGGCCCAGAGATCTTGCCTAGAGAATAGTCCTGGCATAGTTCAGGTGACTGTTCCAAAGATTAGCCATGCATCTTTACAGGATGATGGTTAGGTCCTCACCATGTAGCCCCAAAAGAGAGGCTACTGAGTCAGGGAGCCATTTGGCACTTGACTGGATAAAAGAGCCAGAGAAGCAAAACTCCAGGAAACTTCTCCTACTTCACTTAGGAAAGACAGACAGACTAGACTAAAAGCCACTTCAGAGAGCTGTCACTAACTCAGAATCTCCCAGTTTTCCTGTCACTAGACACCAGAACTCTATGGAGAAAGATGCCAGAATTAGGCTAAGAGAGAGTGGCAGAAAAGACTACTTTTCTACATATCCACTTCCCTTTATTCTTCTTATTAACAAACTCCAACTTCATTCAAGTTGCATAAATGCTTATCTCCTCAGGGTTCCTTACAAGTAAAGGTGAGGAAATGGCTTAGAACTGACCAAAAAGACATGGTAGAAGTCTACATTGTTTAACTTTCAGAAAAACTACCATTGTCCCAATGAAAACAGAAAAACTCAGCTGGCATGTACCAATTTCCCTTTGGCCTGCTACCTTCTTCCTACTTGAAATGCCAATTTCATGCCTACTGGAGCAGCAGTAATGTTAGAAGCAGGAAGAAGAAAACTGCAAGCCAAGGGTGGAAGAGTGAGAATTCTGAAGACACCTGGGCCTTTGATGAGCCCCTTGAATGGGAATAGCAGACTTGGGAATCTCCTCAATCTCCTCAGAGATGTATCCTTAGTTCTAAAATGCAATTATTTTACCCTGGCCTGAAAAACATGGTGGGCTAACACTCACTTCCATGAAGAACTGCATTGCCCATTTTATGAATGGAAGATACTATTTGGCAATGAAATCATCTGGAATGGGGCCAGGAATCCTTATTCTTCTTTAAGTATTCAACTCTAACTCATAAATATCATTAGCATAGCATTTTATCATCCTCAGAGAATCTCCCATCTATTCAGTTGGATGTTCAGGGGAAATCAAATACCTAAGAATCAAAATCCTAACTCCAGGAGTTCTTCCATAATAATAATTAATTTACACAAATTACCCTGTTATATTTAATATATATTAAAATCTCATTTGATCACTGTAATAAATCATTTAATTAAATGCAAAATGTTAACAATCATTTACATACAAGAAAATTGGCACCCCAGGAGGATAACTTACTCAAGATCATGTAATAATAGTAACACTAGTGAATCCAGTAGTGTAGCCCAAGCCTTCTGACATCTCACTACCTCTTTTTTAATTTTACAATAAATTCTCCAAAACATAGAGGTCAAGAGTAATTTCTGATATATGTACTTGTAAGTCAAATTTTGAGATGCTTGTGTATACCTTGGAGTAAGTTATCACATGGTCAAAAGTTCCTAGATAAAAACTAGTGAGGAGATCTCTGAGGAGTGTGAGGGTGGGGTTTCACTACTAACCCACAAGTTTTTCAGTTAACATTATTTTCTTCTGAGATCAGTGAGGACAAAATTGGATGTCAAAGTCTGGAGTAAAATGGAAGCTCCCATTTAGCTTGTAGGGGAGTTACTTCAGTTTTACTCAGCCATAACTTTAGTCATCTAGATTAACTTACCATGGAATGAGGTTCTCCTATTACCAAGGAAACAGGGCACTTCTTCTTGTCCTCATGAGAGGAGTAAGCCTGGGCAGCCCACTGATCCAAGTATCCTTCAGGAGCGTGGAGGCCACAGTCTATGATGCTAGCTTCCTTTTCAAAAGGTTCACAGATCCCATCTCCCTCATACCTGTAGCAAAGGCTTGGCTCCCCTGCCAAGAAACATGAATTACACTGAAATAATGTTTTCGTATTTTATGGGAAAATAAACATGGGAGTGTTCATTGTATTTCTTTTTCAACCCATTAGAGAGACTACTGTGATTGCCAGCCAGTCAAATGCAAACCCCAAACATACCCCACTCATGATCCTGAAAAGGAATGTTCTTTTTTTTACTGGGGAAGAGATAGAATCTACCTACATAATAAAGTTATAGAAAGGGCTGGGATTGGAAGAAAAGGGATAGGAGGAAAAAAAGCAACTAAAGCTGAGAGTGTGAAGAAATATTAAGTAAAGCTGAGTGAGACACTTGGAGATATGAACGATATAGTAAAAAGCAGAGGATACAAATAATTGGCATGATGTATTATGTATTTGAACCTCCTTCATAATATTTGAAATACTAAAGTATTTCAAAACTTTAGTTTGTTCACTGAAGTGTTCTTTTCAGTCACTTTTTGCCACTGAATTATTTCTTTGTCCACATAATTTCTCTGAAACAGGAAAACTGTTGGGGTTGTCAAGCAAGCTCAGATGCACTAGGCAAGTTCCATACTTGCTCATAGGATAACGCCTACTAACGAACAGTGACGACTCTTCATTGACATGTAGACTTGCTTTCTTCAATGTAGAAAATGTATATAATGTCTTTCTATTTATAACCCAGTGTCTGCTGCTTCTTGTTTCTTGTCTGTATTTTTTATCCATGGAATTGAAATTGTGTTTTGTTCAAATCCATCAGAAAATAACAGACTTTTAAAATACATTTTAAGTGGTTCATTCAAACTTTCATTATTTTTCAAATAATGAAATAGAACTATATGCTTAGCATAAAATGAACTTATCACTCATTGAAAAAGATGTCTAATGGTAAGAACACACTGTTTCAACTTTATCCAGTGAATAGTTTAAATATAGTTTTAAGTATGGTATTTAAGCATAGTTATAATGATTTAGATATAGTCTTACTGGAGTTAGAGGTGGAGAAAATATGAATCAAACTTCATTGGATCAAATGTGAAAGAAACAAAGTGAAGTCTGCTCTTAAGTTAAATGAGACTTGAGCTGCACTGGGGGTGGCACAGTGTTTAGAGAATGTATGTTTATTTTCAATATGAGACCACTATGTGGCTACCAAAAAGAAATGCTGCAAACAGAGGTGGAATTAACAAATACTTGTGCAGAAGAGGGAGGTAATCGGTTCTGTGTATTCTGCACAGCCAGACCACATCTGTAGTATTGGATTCCTTTCTGGGCATTGACCACACAAAGCATGCCAGGTTGGGGTGAATAGGAAAGGGTCTGGAAACCTAATCACATGAGGGGATGTTTGGATTGGAAAGGAGAATAATGAGGAGGCATTTCAAATATCTGAATGGTACTCAAATAAAATAGGAAAAAATGTATTCTCTGTAGCTTCATAGCAAGAAAAGTGTACTTGATTGAACATGGGGAAAGCTGAGTTCCAGGGTTTGCTCTGCAGAGGCCTTGTTGAATACCCTTAGATGAGTCACTAAAATGTTCAGAGCCTCAGTTTACAATATTCAGAGCCTCAGGATTTAAAAGAAAGAAAAGAAAAGATGGGCTCTATGTCCTGGTTAGAAGGGATCAGATCTCCAGCAGGCCCTTGGTACATGACAGATACTGAAAGCATGATAAATGATGGTCATTTATTTGTCAACTAGATAGATAGATGGATGAATGAGTTGATACTAAAATTCTATGATTCCTCTCTAGCTCTAGAGAACTGGGGATTTGTGTTTTCTGTGCCATTCTTGACACCATAATAAATTCTACATAATTATCATCTTCTACTTTATCTTAAGATTTAGATACTAAAGAATTTTTAAATGAACTGCTGTTTAAAATGACATTGATGTGTGGTGACACTCCACAAAATCATTACAATGTATGCATATGGGAATGGAAAACAATCTATAGCAAATAAACCTGATGCTGATGGCTCTCAGAATTGGAAGAAGTGCTGAGTCCCTGAGTGGCAAGGGTTTAAGGTCAACATCAACTAGTTATAATTTATTACCAGGGATTCTCCAGGACTAAAAAATATTATGTCCTGCTATCCTTTGTGATCTTATCTGTAAACACAGACACCAGGAGATGGCTTGCTTTCCCTCTGGCTTAGTGTATTTTCTTAGGCTAATTTGTATGTAGAATCAATATGATTGTGCTTCTTATCTGCCATTTTGTTGTCACACATGAGGACCCAAGAGAAATCCTTGGTAACAGCAAGATAGAAACTAGTACAACCTAATGGTTTAATGTTTAATATGAGATTGTAGAACTATACTACTTAGTTTAAATCCTGACTTTACCATTTCTAGCCAAATAAGCAAACACATATTACTAAGCCCTTCATGTCTCCTTCTAATTTCCTCATAGTTATGTTAAATATTAAATGAGTCATATTAACTATATGAACTAGTTAGTGACTGACATATATCAAGTGTTATTATTATAGTTATTATCAAGCTTATATTTTACAGAATATTAAGAACTCATGAAAATAATATACTGATACACACCTCGAAATAAGGCATAACCTTAAGCAGGAACTCCTAAACTCACCTACACAGTGAAAACCTTCCTCTACTTGACAGGCTCTTGAGCATCCATCTCCATTCAACAGGTCTCCATCGTCACACTCTTCTCCCAGGCTCCTAGAAGTACATATGCATGCACATATAAAATGGTTTTCCATGTTTAACTATCATAATATTTAATTCTTAAAATTTCTTATTATATATTAAAAAGTATACGCTGGTCAAAAGTAGGAGTTCAAAGGATACTTTTACAGAAAAAAAATCAAACATACAGACATTTAGACTGGAGATGTAGCTCAGTGGTAGAGAGTGCTTACCTAGAATGCACAAGGCCATAGGTTCAATCCCCAGCCCCAAAGCAAACAAATAAAAAAAATAGAGATACTGAAAGTAGATTAAATTTAGGTAATAATCGTTGATTGGGATTTTTAGTGTGTTGGGAACTCCTAGAATTCCAGGGGCTTGTGACTCAGAAACACCTAGGGTATTGCCATGAGAATGCTGGTAATATTTCTGGTACAAGGTCTTAAGCTTCGAAAAGACCAACTAGTCCTATGATTAATGGAGTTTCAGAAAGCTGACTTGTATCCTGCAACTTTGCTGAAGTTGCTTATTAATTCTAATGGTTTACAAAATCAGTAGTATTGCCATATGCTAACAAGAGTAAGTTATCTGAAATAGAAATCAAGAAGACAATACCATTTATGACAGAAATAAAAGAATAAGAATACCTAGTAAAAAATTTAGCTGAAGAAGTGAAAGTTCTCTACAATGACAATCATAAAAAATTAATGAAGCAAATTAAAGAGGACACACCCACATAAGAAAAATGGAAAGACATCTGTGTTCACAGATTGGATGATTCAATGTTAAGCTGTTCATACTACCCAAAGTCATCTATAGATCCAAGTAGAATCCTTATCAAAATATCAGTGACATTATACATAAAATTAGAAAAAAAGTTATAAAAAATCCAAATAATCAAAGCAAACTTGAGCAAAAAGAGCAAAGCAGGAGGTATTATACTTCTTGGCTTCAAAAAATACTAGAAATATATAACAATGAAAACAATGTGTTCTTGGCATGAAAATAGTCACAATGGACAAGAATATGGAGCCCAGAAATAAACCCATGCACGTGTAGCCAACTGATTTTTGACTTAATAAACACTGACAACACATAAAGAAAAGTACAAGCTGTCCAATAAATGATGCTGAGAAATTTCATTTCCACATATACTAGACCCTTATCTGTCACCAGTTACAAAAATCAATGCAAAGTGGATTAAACACTCAAACATAGGGCCAGAAACTATGAAACTACTAGAAGAAAACACAAGAAATACATTGGGACATTGGAATGAACAAGGAGTTTTTGGACAAGAACCCAAAACCACAGAAACAAAAGTAAATAGATAAATGAGATTATGTCAAACTAAAACACTTCTTCACAGCAAAAGGAACAATTAGCAGAGTGAAGAGACACTCAACAGACTGGGAAAAATATTTGGAAACCATATATCTAACAAGAAGTTAATAGCCAGAATATATAAGGAATCCCAAAAACTTAATAGCAAAAAAAAAAATAACCTGATTCTATAAATGGGTAACAGACCTACATAGACAATTCTTAAAAGAAGATACACAAGTAGTCAACAAGCATATGAAAAAATATTTGCATCACTAATAATCAGGGAAGTGCCAATCAAAACCACAATGAAATATCACCTCACTCTAATAAGAAATGGATATGTTTAACCTGACTTGAACATTACACCATGTATACATGTGTCAAAATATTGCTTAGAACCTCATTAAAATGCATATTTTATGTTTTTATGTATCAATTAAAAAGCTGCTGGGTATGTTGGTGCTTATAGTTGTAATCCAACTATTCTAGTGGCAGAGGCAGGAGGATTACCAACTTAGGCAAAGTTAGTGAGACCTCATCTCAAAAACAAAATAAAATAAAAAACCAAAAATGACTGAGAGTATGGGTCATATACCTAGCAAGTTCCTGGGTTCAATCTCCAGAAACACACACACACACACACACAAAATAATAATAATAATAATAATAATAAAAACCCCAAAAGGCAAGATCTCAAGTCCTGGCAAGGATAACATGTATAGAATAGGGAACTCTTGCTTCCACACTGTTGATAAGAATGTAAATTAGCACAGCCATTATAGGAAACAGTATGGAAGTTCCCTTAAAAATTAAAAATAGAACTAACATATGATCTACTAATCCCACTACTATATATACATATAAACATATTTATACATACATATATATATATATAAAATCTCCAAAGGAAATGAAATCAATATGCTGAAGAGACATCTGCACCACCATATTCCTTGAAGCACTATTCAGAATGGCCAAGAAGTGGAAACAAAGTAAGTGTCCATCAACTGATGAATGGATAAAGAAAATACAATACTTGTGCACAATGGAATGTTATTCAGCCATAAAGAAGAATGAAATATTATTACTTGAAAAAATGTTGGAACTGGACACCATTATGTTGAATTGAAACCAGCCAGGCACACAAGACAAGTACCATGATGTCACTCATGTGGAATCTGCAAAAGTTGATCTCATGTAAGTTGAAAGTAGGAATGGTGGTTACCAGAAGATGAGGAAGGTAGGGAAAAGGAAGGGACATGGAAAGGGTGCTCAATATATACTGGCCTACAATTAGATAGGGGTAGGAAGTTCTGGTACGCTATCACCCTGTTGAATGACTGTGGACAACAAATGAGTAATGGTATATTCAAAAAGCTAGAAGAAAGGATTTTGAATGTTTTCACTACTAAGAAATGGATATGTTTAACCTGATTTGAACATTACGCCAGGTATACATGTGTCAAAATATTGCTTAGAACCTCATCAAAATGCATATTTTATGTTTTTATGTATCAGTTAAAACATAAATTTAGTTTAAAAATCATTTGACTATTAAAATGAGTTGATTTGTTGTTTTTATCTGATACTTCTTTGTGTTTTCAACTCATTGTTTTTATCAGTATCGATGCAGCTATAAAATCTAGAATTTTGCACAACTCTGTCCCCTGTTTGTGTACTACTAAGTGGCTCAAGCAGCCCAGGGATGTGATGACCGCATCACATCACATCTCACCCAGATATGAGATGTGATGACCGCATCACATCACATCTCATCCAGATATGATCACATCTCGGTTCAGAGTGTGACCAGGGTTCAGGCACCTTGTCTTACTCTGTACTACTACCTGGTGGCAGCTACCTATATATTGCAGGGGAGAAACTGCTAGGAAGCAGAAAAATGTCATTTTGAAATCAAATTCTAACAAAAATCCATGACTACATATGGGTGGAAGTGCATAAATCAGTTTGTATAAGTGAGGGAAACGTGAAGAGCATTATGGGTACAAAACAAACTAGGGTTGACACTCCTAGATAGATTTGGGCATCGCAATGTAGAGGACTACCCTTTTTCTCCTTGACTTTTCTCCATGTCCATAATGGACACATATTTTAACTCAGTAGAAGAATAACTTTGGGACACTAAAGGGTTTCAGACCTAGGACATCTCTAATACCTCTAACCATTATTTGACTTACTGCTTATGAGAACAGATTAAAGGTTAAATAATTAGACATGAAATTGCTTTAAATAAGTTAGAAACCACTGTGGATGCAGCAATACAGTCGTCACATTTTAAATGATAAGTTGGATGCAGAGAGACTGCATGGGAGCGTAATCAAAAAGTGTGATACCCAGAAAGTCCCCAAACACTTAACATCTCAGGTTCCTCATCTACGGAGGTAGGATTAACTCATGTCTCTCTACATGAGGTCTAGTACATCATCTTAGAGGACAGAAATTTCATATTTTTAATTTATACTATAAATTAATGTAAGCATCTTGTGGATCATTTTGTGCTATGCGGGCCAATAGAAATACAATGAGAATCACATGCGTAATTTTGAATTCTGAATTTTCTACTAGTCATTTAAAGAGTAAAAAGAAATAGGTAGTTAAAATTATTTCTAATGATACATCTCACCCAATCCAACACATCCAAAATACTATCATTTCAATATATAGTCAGTATGAAATCATTGAGCTGTATTACATTCTTTCATTTCATTTCACTCTAAGCTTTTAAAGGCTAGTGTGTAATTTCACTTACAACATATCTCAATTCAAATAGTTGATCTATATTTAGACTTCATAAAGTTTGTAGCCAAAGAAGATTTATCTGCCAAGTTTTCTCAAACTTATGCTGTTTGTTTTGTTTTTGTTTTTTTGGTTTTTGGCCGTATGGAATTTGAATCTAGGACCTTACCCTTGCTGGGTAGGTTCTCTGCCACTTCAGTCACTTTGCCAGCTCTGTTTTGTGTTGGGTATTTTTGAGATAAGGTCTTGCGAAATAAAGGAAATGCAAATTAAAACCACACTAAGATTCTACCTCACCCCTGTTAGAATAGCCATCATTAGCAACACCACCAACAACAGGTGTTGGCGAGGATGCAGGGAAAAAGGAAACTTTTTACACTGTTGGTGGGAATGTAAACTAGTACAACCACTCTGGAAAAAAAAATTGGAGGCTACTTAAAAAGCTAAACATTGACCTACCATTTGATCCAGCAATACAACTCTTGGGGATATACCCAAAAGACTGTGACACAGGTTACTCCAGAGGCATCTGCACTGGAGTGTTTATTGTGGCACTATTCATAATAGCCAAGTTATGGAAACAGCCAAGATGCCCCACCACCGACGAATGGATTAAGAAAATGTGGTATCTATACACAATGGAATTTTATGCAGCCATGAAGAAGAACAAAATGTTATCATTCGCTGGTAAATGGATAGAATTGGAGACCATCATTCTGAGTGAGGTTAGCCTGGCCCAAAACACCAAAAATCGTATGTTCTCCCTCATATGTGGACATTAGATCAAGGGCAAACACAACAATGGGATTGGACTTTGAGCACATGATAAAAGCGAGAGCACACAAGGGAGGGATGAGGATAGGTAAGACACCTAAAAAATTAGCTAGCATTTGTTGCCCTTAATGCAGAGAAACTAAAGCAGATACCTTAAAAGCAACTGAGGCCAATAGGAAAAGGGGACCAGGAACTAGAGAAAAGGTTAGATCAAAAAGAATTAACCTAGGAGGTAACACACATTCACAGGAAATTAATGTGAGTCAACTTCCTGTATAGCTATCCTTATCTCAACCAACAAAACCCCTTGCTCCTTCCTATTATGGCTTACACTCTCTCTACAACAAAATTAGAAATGAGGGCAAAATAGTTTCCGCTGGGTATTGAGGGAGTGGGGGGAAGAGGGAGGGGCAGAGTGGGTGGTAAGGGAGGGGGTGGGGGCAGGGGGGAGAAATGACCCAAGCCTTGTATGCACATATGAATAATAAAATAATAATAAAAAAAATAAAAAAATAAAGTAACACCCTGCATGGCTCAAAAAAAAAAAGGTCTCGCAAAGCATTTGTCCAGCTGGTGTTGAACCATGATCCTCCTGATCTCTGCCTCCTGAGTAGCTAGAATTACAGGAGTGAGCCACTGGCACCCAGCTAGTTATTCTTAAAGGTTTTCCAACAACTAAACTGAGTGTCCGTTTTTAAACTAAATTACTTAAAATTAAATAAAATTAAACATTTCTTAGTTGTATTTGCCACATTTCAAAGCCTCAAGAGCCACAGGTGTCAGGTGGTTTCTATTTTGAACTACACACACTGAGATGATCAACTTCTGAATGAACACTGCTCAAAACTTCAAGGCGCTCAACTGTGTTTGTCTTGATAATCCTATTGACAAGTGAAATCCAAATGAGTTAAATGATTTGCATGGCTCTCTTTTGTTTTATGTGCAATGGGGTGCCCCAGCTGAGGTAGAGCTGGAATTCAGAGATATCTTTCCATTGGTTGACAGTGCTACTTACTGTACACAGAGAGGGAGAATGCATAAATTTAAACAGTAAATTTTGATAAAGAATCTTGGGAGACCCAGTAGCCAAGAAGTGTTGCCTAGGTGACACTGCTTCAAGGCACAGGAGAGCTGTGAATGCCAACTTATGGAGAGGGTGCTGAACCTCTTTCTGTCCCCACAGTCCTAGAAAATGTGGCATCGTGGGGCCTCAGGGTGGCCACTATCAGAGAATGACCTCAACAGGCACTATATCATAAGGTAGTGTTTTGTTCAAGGAAGGCAATGCCAGTGTTGCTGCAGTAACCCAGCCCTAAAATATTTTAACTTGTAGGCTGCAGGTTTAAAATGAAACAACTAGAATGGAAAAAACAACACCACAGCAATGGACTAGTTCTGTGCACATGTGAAGCATGCAAGGAGAAATTCACTTTGAATTGGATGGGGGAGATAGTAGACTAAGGCTGAGTTAGACAGGAAGGAAAGCAAATGAGAAAGCTTTGCATATTTAGGTGATTTCAGTTGCTTCTGTATATGAAAGTGGTCTGGGAACATTTATTGTTTATACATCTTTGCAAAGGAGTAGACATATTATAACCTAAGGATCTTAGGAGATAAACAATGGTCAGTGATTGCTCAATGATGGAATGGAATCCCAAGAAAGGATATGGAATTGATTCCTAATATGGCTTTAAGATACAATATATTTTCACCTGGTCCAGGAAATTAAAACATATCATCTTAATGGGATGTGGAATTTACGATAAATCCAGCCTCTCACTCCCAGAAGCTTTATATAAGTAACATATTAGCCCAGATGAGCTTTAAGATGCAGAGTGATCAATGACCCTGATTTTCCCAGGCCTGGGGATAGTTCAGTGCTAAAACTGAGACAGTCCTAGGCAAACCAAAATGAATTAATTCCCTAGGATGACATTATAGGACCACAGGGAAAGGAGCATATATGTTAAGAAACCAAAGGAGTAAATTCCATCTTCACCTTGATGATATTTACTGAAGAACTGGAAATTCCATTTAATTAATTCTTTCTGGGGTCAAATGAGCAAATGATTTTCCTCAAATCATGCAGTTATTTAATAAAATCACACAGCTGGAGTTAGTAAAATCATGCAACTACTTAGTAAAATCACACAACTGGTTAATAGTATAGGGTAAGCCATTAGTCCACAAGATATCCTCTTTCAGCATTATTTGACAAGTCACCTTCTTCTTCATAGTATCCCTCTCTGAGTCACTGCTCTGCAGTGATTTTGGAGGTTCCAAAGAATCAGTCCCAATATCTCAGTACTCTAGGATGACCTCTATAAATAAAAATGGGTTCCTCCATAACTTCATAGACCTCTCAAGATCACCACAAGGTTCCAGATTTTATAAATTGAACATGAGAATTTAGGGTTATCCTCTACATTTTCAAACAAGTCAAACTCAAACTGGAGGCCAAGCCTCCTGGTCAGAGTAGGTCAGAGTAAGCTAGCTCACACATTCCCAACACACATAATACTCACCCTGCCACCTTCCCATCTCCACAGTAAGGACCTCCATGGATATGGCTCAGTGGAGGTGAAGCTTCTCCCAGTTCTCCTCCAGCCTCAGCTTGCACTTGATACTGATACATCTGCCCAGATGTGACCTCCCTGTGGAAACCAAAGGGATTGTGAGACATGATATCTGGAAAGTGAGTCACGACCTGGGTCATTTGTAGATGGTTCACAGGAGTTTTAGGAAACTATTATGAGGAAAGTAAAGTTCTGTATGCTGCATTGTCTGCAACAAAGAGCCATACAATGTCGAATTCATGTTTATCTGAGTATTCCCCATATGCTTTACATAGGGGATGTGTGATAAGTATTTTCCGAATGAATACTAAATGTAAAAATCCTAGATGACCTAGGAGGATGGTATGTTGAGTGTTTTAACCAAGTTAAAAACAAAACAAATGTTAAAAAAAAAGCAGATTTCTGTATCTTTAAAGTAATCAAAGAAAGTAGAGGTAAAGCTTCAAAGTAGAGCTCAGTCAACCTTCCTTGGGTTTGTGGATCATGGTTTTATAATCCTTCAAGAGAATTCTTGTCTTGAAGAGACTAAATCCTTAGGAATAAGAGTAACTATCTCAGAGAAGGAGGTAAGTCAAGGTGGGCATTTTACTTTACATTCTGTATCTATAGAAGACTGCCAAGTGGGCAGTTGAGGCAGTTGGTGTGAGAGATGAAGGAGTTCATCAGACTCTCTAGAGTCTTGGCATAGTGATCAGGTGGAGAATGTGAGAGACAGGAAATTTCTTGGAAGAAGGAAGTGGGGGCATGCTCTTTCCAAGGAAAAATTCTGCCTTTATCTTAATTTTATCCATTTATTCTCCTGATTGAAAAACTACCACCAAAATCAAGTCAGGATGCAGACTGTTTAGAAGAACAAAATCTCAAAGGATTATTGAGACTGTCTTGAGTGGCCATTAAAAGTTTCCTGCCAAGACTGCCTTTGCTTTAACAGACTTTTCAACTCAACCACAAAGCCTCTATTCCCTCACCTGCTCCAGTAACCAGCAAACTGAAAATGTCTTAGGGTTTCCAAACTATCTTTAAAAACCTCTGCACTAGCTGTTAAGTAGGAAAGACACCAAAATATTAAAGACTTTTAAATGTCCAACTTAGTTTTACTTTCTGAGGAAACAACCCTGTCACGACAGTGCCAGATATTTCTAAAGCAAACCAAATTTTATATCCTAGTCCATGCTGATGATTTCCCCTTTATAAGGTGGTTTCTCTAGGACTTCTTATCCAGCCATGCGTAAGTCTTACACAGCTCTTTGGCTGGAAAAGAGATTGAATGGAAATGTCAGTATGTGTTTACTTTTTTAGAGAAAGCAACACATAGCTGAGACCTTCAAAGATCTGAGTTTGTAAAAGGCAGAGTGCTACTAAGGAAAGAGAATAGAAATGAGGTTCAGTTGGAAAATTGGATCTTAATCCTGAGTTTGCCAAATGGCAAATTAAAATAAAGCCTCATTTTTCTATCTATAAAATGGGAGTTATTGCCTTAAAATTTTTTGTGTGGGGGGGTTGGATATCATTAACAAATATCATATTAACTACCTTACTAAAGAAGCTCAAAAATGTTATTTAAAAAAAACAGTCCTCTGATCTATCTTTCCATCTGTATAACCTCTCTGACCATCTCACTGTCTTCTCATTCTAAAGAAAAGAGCTAATATGAATATACTGGAGCTCAAGGTGGACATTTTACTCTGCTTTTCTTTATACCTGTGATAGATTGTCAAATGACCATCCCACTCAGAATGTGCTCCTCTGTGATATGACTGCTGCCTCTCCCATCAAAATGGTCAGTTTATTTTGCCATCACTTGAATCTGGAATCATCTATGTGACTTGTTCAAGCAAGTACTAGAATATCAAGAATAATGTCGTGTAGAGATAGAAGAAGTGCAGGCAGTATGGAGCATGCCATCCCTGCTGCTGCCGGGAATCCTTCCACCACCATAAGAAGCAGCTCAGGGCAAGACTTGAGATACCATTAGAAATGAGGCCCTATTTTTCCCAGCCATGCCAGCTGTTTCAGCTGAGCCCTCCAATATGCACAGAAGGTCACCCAGGGCCATCTGGCTCTGGGCAAGCTGTCTAGAGAACACCCAGCCCACCTATAGAATCCTGAGAAATACATTTGTTGTTTCGACCCAGTACATTTTGTGTGATTTCTAATGCAGCAAAAACTAACTCATGTAGTATCTCTGACAAAACTTTGTTTTACCTTCATTCTGCCCTCAGGGCATTCTTGAGGAAAATTATGAGGTAAAATGAAGTGGTCTTTGGACATACCAGCTTCCTAATGCAGACACGGAATGCTTTATGAGTAGTGACTTTATCTTAGGTATGTGTGCCCAGCACTGAGCACACAGTGGACCTCACTAAATATAGAAAGAAAGCATAGAAATAAGAGAAAAGAAAATTGGAAGCGAAGGAAATAGAAGGAGGGATGTACAAGAAAAGAAGGAAGAATGAAACACATCATGGATGGGTTGTAAAACTGAGTGCGATGTCACATCTGGAGGGCCTATGGCCTTTTTTACTTAGCTATGGAATAACTGACCACAACTTTTGACTGTTATGGAGCCATGGCAGATTATTAGAGAGTAAGGAATCAGAAATTAAAATTTCACCAGACAAAGAATCTAATTCTAATCAACTTATTTGTGGCAATTTAACTCAGTCCAACAGAAAGACCTCACATGCTAACCTCTTTTTTTCAACAATCATAATGATGACATCAGCAATGACGACATCTGCATGTCCTTTTATGAGAATATTTTTTTTTATCTCAGATATGCTAGTTTAAAACAAAGTCCTCCCTGATATTCTAAATATTTCTCCAACAAAGGGTATATTAGAACATTAAAAAGCATAAATAGAGGGAACTAAATTGATCCCCAAGTCCTAGGAAGTCCTATGGCTTGGCAGGATCTTCTGCCCAACTCACATGTCTGTGAACTTCCTGTGAGGGTGTGTCACCACCACTGGCAAGCCACTGGCAAAGGGTGGCTCCCGGACAACCTGGTACCTCACGGCCCTGCAGCCAGAGCACAAGGGACTATGGGGTTGAGAAGTCAGGAGGGCGGCGTCAATCTCCATCCGTTCATCAAAGGTGTAGACTTTCACTCCTGAGACCTTCCCATCCACGTGCAGTTTGATAGTGAGTGGTGTGTCACAGAAAGTGTTTAAGGGGCCCAAGTGCACAGACTCCTGATGTTCTAGCAAGATCTCTGTGTCAAAGAGTGCCTGGGAGGAGTCCATGGAGAGGTAAGTGACCCAGAGGGTGAGGGTGTCAGCTTGGACCGGGTGTTGAAAGAGCAACTCCAGGCTACAGCCTTCTGTGGGACAGGGCACAGTCATATTCATGTGATACAGGTGGAGCTCGGGACTCCAGGCCTGCAAGCTGGGCTCACAAGGCTGATCCACATCAGGAGGCCCTGTGGAAAATAAACAGAAAGACACATAAGGAATCACCATTAAAAATATGAATGTGAGTATCTCATATCAGCTACCAGGAGGAATGCAGAAGGACAGAGTTTGGGATTCCTATAAACCTTGGTCAATTTAGTGGCTTATATCCTAAATACCACCAATGAGACTGGTACAAAGAAGTGAAGCCATGTTGTTAAAGAATCTTTGAGCAACTATGTATACTTAGTTTATTAATAATTTATGATAAATTAATTCTTCTGAAGCCCAATGTCAATTTCAGTTTGTCACTGTACTCTTCCTGGTGCTCCTCACAAAACTTCTTTCATTCTCTAAGCTCCCACTTTGCACCTCAGCACCTTGACTGTTAGTCTCAGCTTAAAACCATACATTGCATTTTTCCTTTTAGTTCAGGTGTATATGAGCAGGCTGGTAACCACACTGGGAAAATTTCAGGCAGGAAATAAAAACATATAAAATGGCGTAGGAGACTCAATAGCCAAGTCAAAACACAATTGTGAAAGATCAGACATCACAAGTGTATTAAGGCCAGCTTGTAGAGACAATCCATACAAAGTGGTTTTCTTTTATTTCACATGAGGGGAATTGAACAGAAAGTGCTGAATTATAAATGAGCAGAGTGAGGCTCTGATCAGCACTAAGTCACCAGATATGTCTTTCTTTTCTCATTTATAAAACAAGGGCTAATATTTAACCCCTTCCTTACTAGGTTAGTGTAAAAGATGTATGCAGTGCTCCATAGAAATAAGTATCTACGTCTGCAAAAGTAGAATTATTTAGTTCTTCAGAGTGGGAAAATAAAAATGTCCCAAAGCCCAGAAGAAATCAAATGTACGTGTGTATGTGCATGTCTGTCTGTCTGTCTGTGTGCTTAGTGTTTCCTCTTAGGAGCCTTATTGTTTTTTGCCTACATTGTGAATTGAGTTATTCATTTGACAAAAATGGACAGTATCACTATACTGTAGTCTAGATATTAGAAACAGTAGAGAGCAAGAAAGATGAAGGTCCTTCCTACTCACATTTATAATTGGGTGACAGAGGCAACAGCGAATTGATATAAGGATATAAATTATAATTTCAAGAAGTAATGGCATCTTTGAAGAAAAATGAATGAATACAACTTGACAGAGAATTATGGCATGGGGATAGAAGCTATTTTAGATGATGAAGTCAGAGAAGTTCTCACCAAGGACAGAATAATTAAGTAAGGAGCATTGATGGCTCACTTTTCTAGTCTCTATAGCATTTAGAAAGTAATTCATGACCAATAAGTGTTTATTAAGTGTTAATAAATATATTTTGGTCATATCTGTGAATCCATGTGTTTGTGCTTGCTCTTTCAGGGATTCAATTATTTTTATATGTATATTTAAAATTAGACCTGGTCCTTCATCTTTTCAAAGCAAATTCTTAGCAGAATTTTCCAGTGTTTATCCCCCAAAATGAGCAAATCAAAGGCCCTTGACTGCCACCTAATATCAGCACTGTCTGTCAGAAAGCTTTTTATTATAACCTCATGTGCAACATGAAGTAAGATCCCTAAAATTTTACTTGATTTGCCTCAAGATACAAAAATTAGAACCTAAACTTCGAAACCATCTCATCTCTACCAGGTAACTTTAAACTTTCCTAAGAATAAAAAAGAAAATCCTGTGGGTCAGGGGGCCAAACAGGCATTAAAGCCCCAGCACAGAACAAACTTTGCACAGAAAAAACTTTTTACAAAATGCCAATCTCTAAATAAGTCCACTGCAGCAAATTTTATATTCACTTTTCATTCTTCTCTGAAAACTCTCATTTGAAAAGAGCTATACACAGTTAATCACATATACTGTCTCCCTCAAGCTTCCTCTCTGAGGCTCTTTCACTTAACTAACAGGGAGCCACAGATGACAGCATGCAGATACTCCAGAACTCTTAGACCACTGTCCTTTTTTTCTTGTCACAGTCAAGACTTCAAATTAATTCAGATAAACTGTGTCCAACACATCTTTCTGAGTAGTTTTTTTGGATCTCAACAAATATAAGGAGAAAAAAAGCAAAGCCAAAAGCTGATGATTAAGCATTGAAGACATTGGTGAGGGTAGAAGTCAATCCATTCATCAGATAGTGTTAAAAGTCATGTCAACAGCATTTTCTGGATGGAACTGGAAGGGATTCATGCTGAAGTTTGTCTTCTGGGTCCTGATATACATATGTGAGTGAGTATGTGACTGAGAAGTTGGGGGAGGGACAGGAAGAGATAACAAAAAACATCTTGCCCCTCCTAGAGCCTAGCTTAGATCATAACCAAAGCACAACCAGTACTAGTGATTAATAGACTCATAAAATAACATAGATGAGAACGATCCGTGTGGAACACCTAGTCCACCCTGCCCCCACCCAGACTCACTGGGCCAGTGCATGAGTGTTCCCTGCAATGTGTTCTCTATTATTCTCCTGAAATACAGGAGTAAGAGATCAACTTACTCTATCATGTGCCAAGGCTGCTCCAGGGACAAGTAGGCATATGTACCACTTCTATCCCTATTTCACCCTGACGTTACCCCTCAGTTTGGCTGACTTCTCTATCCTTCCTCATTATATGTTGATCTCTGTTCATCACAGTAACTAGGCCTCCATCTTAAGCACATATGGGACATCTGGCACGCAGAAGTACCAGGCAGTCTTTCCAATGGCCTGGATATATCCAGAAAACACACACACACACACACACACACACCAGAAGGAGGGAGAGAGAAAAAGAGAGAGCCTGTTCTTCATCATGCCACTTCTTTAATTCTTTACCTTCATCCCCATTCTTAGTGGCCAATAAGGTATAAATCAAAAACCCCAAAACCCATGGTACTTTACCCACAGCCTCCTCTGGGGTCCAGTAACCTGAAGAGTCACACACTCTCCGGGAAGAAGCCTTGTGCACATACTGACGGAATGTCCCATCTTCAGTGCAGGCACTACACATGCTGCCTGGTGCCCTGTGAAGAGGAGGGGATGAATATAGGGAGCATTTATCAGATGAACTGTACTAAGAAATCAGAGGACCTTGGAGAAGGAGGGTGGCACTGGATCAGAGGCCCTAGAGGCCAACAGGAGACACAATCGTTTCTCAACTTCTTATGTAGAGCTCATCTTTGCAACATTCATAGCAACATGAAATCCCAAGGTCACAAAGGAGAAAAATTTAACTAAGTCATAAAGGAAGCCTATGAGATACATGTGGGGTGCTTCTGTCCTAAGAACATTAAAATACAAAATAATTATAATCCAAATTCATATAAAACTCCTTTCCTCAATGACTCTCAACAAATCAGCAAAGACCCCTTGCATTCCCCACCCTCAAAACAGATAATTTTCAGAGAAAAGTTATTAGCTGTGTATATTCTTTTGTTATAAACTCCCTTCATTAAATCATAAACACAAAATAAAAGCCATGTGAATATAATGTCTCTTGGCTTGGTTATTCATTGCCTATGTGGATAAATCTAGTTTCTTATCAAGATCCAAGGTCCATGACAAGTGAGCTCCAGCATCATGTACTGTAGTTCTTTCATGAATTTTACAACTTTATCACAATGAATGTATCATCATGCCACAAAAACATCATGCCCTTCACACAGCTCCATGAAACATGCCTATTCTTCACCACTAAATGGTCTTTCAAACTTCTCTATTTAGCAAATACCTACTCTTCAAAACCACCCAGGGCCCATTCAAGTACAACCTTTGCAGTGGTACTCAGCCTTACTCCTCTGAGTGTTGGGCACCTGTTCTAGGTACCCACCTGCTGGCTGCTCTCTTAGGACACTGCTATGTGGTGCTGAGAATTTCCATTCACACTGTTTCCTCTCCTTTACCTGTGAGCAGCACCAGACCTACTCTGCTCTTTCTGTCCCTAGCAGTCAGTCATAGGGACTGGACTCAGAAGTCCTGCTGTGAATGCTTATTCTATGAGTGTCTATAGGGATGATTAATACAGCCTATGAAGAACTCTATAAACAACATATTTGGGGTAACAAGAATAGGGAGCAATAATAATAGTTAAATAACAAGGGGCAATCACTTTGTGAGTGATTGTCTCTCATATTCAGAATGTTTTTAGAAACCCAGTTGTGAACAACATATTTGAAATGTAGAGCTCAAATTAGGGAGGCTCAATAGGTAGCATATCAATAGCATATTATTCACAACATACATATTGTCTTATAATAATCTAGAAAAACAGGATTATTAAACAAAGACAATAATTATGACAGCCACTTCCATTTATTAAGCATCTCACATATCTGGCTTTGTGCCACATGTACTTTTTATAAATTATTTCTAATCCCTGTAATAACCTTATGGTTACGAATGAAAAAATTCAGGCTCAGACAGGTTAAGCAAATTGCCTAAGGTCACAAGTTCCTTAATTTCTTTGAGCAAGTTCCCAAACACCATGTAGTATCCAGTACTTTGGCAATTAAAAGGTGTAGTTAAGATCTATCCTTTGACTCCAACCAATGCTTACTTCTTATGAAGATGCAATTCCAAACCACATTTCCCTGATGCACTTGGCTCTTCCGGGGCTGCTGCCGAATGCGTAGCTGGGGCTCCTCTCTGACATAAGGATTCCAAATACCTACTGGGGTGGAGTAAACATAACTCCAGGCATGACACAAATCGCTGGGCATGTGACGTGAGTCTCTCCAACACACGTGCTAGGAGGCCTCAAAACTGTAGCCCACCTAGCTGAGAAAAGGAAGCAAATTGCAGTCTTTTCTGCCAACAGACTCTCAGCAAGCCAGTTCTGATGTCTGCTTTATCGTAACATTTGTACCAGAGAGAGAATTGAAAGATTAAATTGTTTACACGTGTTACATAAACTGATGTAAAACTCTGCTTTGCACATACCCACAGAGGACTTACTGTTCAGCCAGTCTCATCAGAACTGCACAAGGTCGCACTTGCAGGAAGATGATTCTTATACACATCACATAGATATGTGCTGAATCACCCACCAGAGCCTGTGAGAGCCGGGGTGCTGATGACAATGCAAACTATTTTTTAGGATTGTGAGGTCTAAGTGATGTCATGGCTAAGTATGGGACAAGGTATCAAGATCCCAGGAGGTTGTGAATATACCACTTTGAAAAAGCATTCGCTGCTTTATCCTATCCTCATCTCTCACTATCTTCTCCTCAGGGCTTTTAGTAAAGCCAAAGGGCATGAAGACGTGCACTAGGAAAATCCAATTCCTTAGCTGGACCATGCTGCTCAGAAAGGAAATGCCCAAAGAGAAGAGCTATCTACCTGCTCAGTGGGAAGGCTCTAAATTCAAAGATCTAATATATGTTAGGTGAATTTCCAGTGAAATTTCCCGAGTTGCCCCTTTACTTAGTTGTCTTGGGCTAGCTGCATATGTTTCTCTAAGCCTCGGAATTCCACTTGTACTGCAGCAGTTGTGTGTACTGCATTGACTACTTGAGTCAAGTACAGTAAAATATCTAGCACAGTGCTTCCTGCATAGCAGAAACAAACTAATGCCAGTTACTCTCTCATGTAGAATATAGTGATAGGTTTTGAGAGAGACGGGTCTATACAAGTCATGGATGAGGTTCTGGTCCTTTTTAAATGACATTAGATGTCATTCTTTTCCTAACCTTTTCTATTTCTTACAAAAAACTCCATATATTCATTTATACCAATATGCAAAGGAAGAATGAACCTAGTTTTAGGTATCATGCTTTTCTCCCATAAGTATGTATTAGATATTTATTGTGGCAAGTCAAGAGACAAAGATACAAAAAAAAAAAAAAATCCAGCCTTCACCCCTAGGAGTTGCCAGCTGGATGAGGTGGATAAGAAAAGGCACAGATTATAACAATTCTATAAGATAGTGGCAATAAGGCATGGGACGGGAGCCACAGAGTACAGTGGAAGGTAGAATTGTCCACAAGTCAGTCAAGCCACTGAAATACACCTGTGGCAGTTTGCATATCCCCAACTACACCTAGAACTACCTGGAGGAACATACCTTTCTTTCCTTCCCCCAAACACCACTGTACAAGTAGTAATCCTCTGCTTAAGCCTCACTGCAGAGGAACAGCTGACCAAGACAGGTGGCTAGTGCCCTCTCCCTTCTGTCAGGTCATCCTTGTCACATTGGCCAACCTCTTCAGGCCCCTTGATGAGGACTCAGTACTATGACTTAAAGGAGAAGTCCATGAGCTCGGATAAGGAACTGAGCACAGAGTAGACCGGAGGAAGCATCCCTGAGCAGTGGTGCACACATTCATAGTCCAAATGGGGTTCCCTAGCTTCACATTCTCTCCCTCATATAAAATGATACCAGCTCACCCCCAGCAAGCATCTCTCTCACCTGTCAAATACAACTCCACTAATAGGAGGCAGCCAATGAATAGTGAGGGACTTGTGGGTCTGCCCAATGACCACTGGTGAGATGGGAATGGGGGTGGGCTTTCTGCTTTGACTCCATTGCTGATATACAAGGTCCAAATAGCAATGCATTCGAGCCACTTGGTTAGGGGTGAAGCTGTCAGTGCAGTCATCATCTGTGGAGACAAGAAAGAAAACACAAGAAATAGAAGGTTTCACCTGGAAAGTCCACCAAGTCAAGGATGAATCCTTTCTTGTCCTCAATTGTTACCAGCACCCAACCCAACACCTTGCACTTATTAGGCACAATAAACATTTGTTGAAAGCGAGAGCACACAAGGGAGGGGTGAGGATAGGTAAGACACCTAAAAAACTAGCTAGCATTTGTTGCCCTTAACGCAGAGAAACTAAAGCAGATACCTTAAAGCAACTGAGGCCAATAGGAAAAGGGGAACAGGTACTAGAGAAAAGGTTAGATCAAAAAGAATTAACCTAGAAGGTAACACACACACACAGGAAATCAATGTGAGTCAATGCCCTGTATAGCTATCCTTATCTCAACCAGCAAAAACCCTTGTTCCTTCCTATTATTGCTTATACTCTCTACAACAAAATTAGAAATAAGGGCAAAATAGTTTCTGCTGGGTATTGATGGGGGGAGAGGGAGGGGGCGGAGTGGGTGGTAAGGGAGGGGGTGGGGGCAGGGGGGAGAAATGAACCAAGCCTTGTATGCACATATGAATAATAAAAGAAAAATGAAAAAAAAAAATAAATAAAGTCACATTGAAGAATAAAAAACAAAAAAGAAAAAAAAAAAAAAGAAAGAATAAATGCACTCTGATCCAGAAAGTATTTAAGCTGGAAGTGAGAAAGAGAAGGCAGAGATATAGTCCTTTTTTATCTCAAAAGAAAGGCCATTATCTTAATGTTAGGCTACCCAGGGTGCGAATGGCACCCTGGAGTTCAGAGTTGCAGAGGTAACAGTTGCTTATTCAGAAAACCACAAGATGGCAGTGTTTCAACTTTCACTTACGAGTTTGGAGGTAGAGATACCTGTTTGTTGCCCAGCGACTTTGCCAAAGTTAGTGTGTAGTCAGTAGAGATGTTCAAGGATGAGAAAGCCAAAATATCAAGGAAGCAGCAGGAATGGGATTGGTGGTCCCCGTCTTACTTTTAGAGTTAAACCTCTCCCTATTATGTACAATTTTCATAGGGCTGAAAAGAGTTATCTTTTTCTTATTTGTGTGTGCATGTGGTACTGGTGATTGAACCCAGACCTCATACATGCTAAGCAAGCACTCTAGCCCCAGCTCACAAGGAGTTTCAGGGCTATAGCCATTTAAACACACCAGTCAAATATTACCCCATTATTAAATGTTTCCCCTGCTTGCCACAAAAGTGGCACTTAAGAAACTCTTGCTTTTGCTTCCATTATCTAGTCTGTGCCCCTGGTGAGGGTCACTGTGTCCTGGCTAGGGGAGGCAGAGGTTCTGGTGCTTATGAATTTAATGTACCTGAGTTATTCATCACAATAAAACTTGGATAGAAACATATTTATTTTCTCCTTTTTGATGATACTGAGGTTTGAACTCAGGGCTTCCCACTTGTTAGGCAGACACTCTATCCCTTGAGCCATGACTCCACTCCTATATGCTCTGGTTATTTTTGACATAGGGTCTCAATTTTTGTGCAGGTCACCCTGGACCACCATCCTCATATTTTACATTTTCTGTCACAGCTGGAACGACAGGCACATGCCACCATACTCAACTTTTTTTTCCATTGAGATGAAGGTCTCATGAACTTTTTTCCCCCAAGCCAGCCTGAAGCCATGCTCCTTCTGATCTTAGCCTTCCACACAGCTGGAATGAAAGGCACATGCCACTGCACCCAGTTATTGATTGAGATGGGGTCTTGCAAACTTTTTGCCCTGGCTGGCCTCAAACTGCAATTCTCTAGATCTCAGCCTCTCAAGTAGCTAGGATTCAGAAGTGAGCCCACTGCTGCCTAGATGGTAGAAGCATCTTAATAAGTCACAGACAGAATCAGTCATCACTCTTCCCTTTAATGCCAGGATCAGACTCCGGTTGTTTGTCCTTTTTTGAATAGCTCTAGAAATAAGCACCTGGAACTAGAAAAATTACTTTCACTATTGGAGAATGTCATCAAATCAAGTTAGTCCTTAATTTTAAGGGTAAATTTAAGTCTATCATCAGGAGACTGGTTAGTGTTATTTTTTGCCAGAAACAAAGAAAATGTGAGAGACAGGAAAGAAGGGTAATCCAGGAACTGATCTGAGAAAGAACAAGACTAAATAATGCAGCTTTACCCAGAGCCAGGAAGGCACTGCTTTTCATTGTTTATTTTTTAATGAGGCATCATTTTGAGCAGGGCACATGGAGGACAAAGTAAAAATCAATACTTGGCTAGTGTTGGAAGAAGAGAGTCAAATTTTTAATAGTATAAATAAAATGAATCCTGTACTTAAATTAACCAAGTCACCTTTTAACCACCTATAAGAATAGTGTAGAGATATCTTGATCCAAAAACCTCTTTCACCCAATCACAGATCTCCTTCAGAGTAAATGCCTAAGAATATGAACAAAAACAAGAATCACCAAGTTCTAGAAGTTGAAGGGATCCCAAGAGAGCTTTTGGTTTTGTTCCATTTTTACTATCCGAGATAGAAGTGTGTCTTACTTTTAATCTCTAGTATAAGAGAAACCAGTCAACAAGACCATTTAGTTTCTTTAGTTCTTCAAAGACATGGGGAAAATATCCCATAATAAATACATTTCAATTCTGTGCCACAAATGACTGCTCAGTCATCAACATGGTTCTCACACATGTACCACACCATTACTGAGAACCCCTCAGGTAATTGTAACAGAAAACCAAACATCAAGTCTGTTGTGATACCTGTGTAGCTCATGTAGTTGCTGAATGGAGCTCCTGGGAAGTGGGTGAGGCCACAGGTGTCATTGGCAGACTCTGGGTCCTGGCACAGTTTACTCTTGGGTGTGGGGGCAGTGTCAGCACAGAGGTCTCCTGTCTCCATGGAAGGCACTGTCTCTCTACAGGGGTCATCACAGGATTCTCTTTCACTGACCCCTTTGAAGACATGGTAGAGTCCCAGAACATGTCCCACTTCATGGATCATGATATTGGTGTGGCCAGGCATGCCATAATAGGCTGGGTTGAGGACAACACCACCTGCAATGGAAGGTTTGGAAAACATTTCTGAGCATAGACTGAACAGCAGTACTCTAGTCCTTAGCTATGATGTCTAATAAACTTCAAATATTCCATTTTAGCTTCTAGGAGACACTTTGTAGCTTCTAGTGGCGTTGCATCATTGCACTTCTCTCTTGTCACAAACATCCTTAGAACTAATCAATAAATATTCCATTACCCCTATCATGGGTTTCTCCCTAGAGACCAGGGACACCAGTGTAAGCAAAACAACATGAGAGAATGCCAGGATCCTCAGTCCTAGCTGGACACAAAAATCTCTCAGGGGAGTTTAAAAAATATAGGTCTAAATGCTACCCCTGACAATTAAATTGAAACTTTTGAGGATGGAGTTCACACCTCAGTATTTTTTTTCAAACTTACTAGGTAGCAATCCATTGCCCTAGGCAGAAGTACACAGGGTTGTGAAACAAGGAAATCTAAGTCTGAAACTTGGTCCCTTTACATATTGACTTTTAGTACTTGAACAGCTGATTGGCCCCACAGAACTCAGTTTTATTATGTAGGGATGATAACACTAGCATATGGGATTTTATCAAAGTGTTTGTTATAATATAGGAGTTTAGTAAAAGACAGTTACATATGCTGATTCTGAGTTCACTACCACTGCTCTCAAGATGGTAACAGCCATAAGTCCCACATTCTGTCTCTTCAAATTCCATGAGAGGAATGGAACTAAGGGAGGTGTTTCATACAAGGTGAAATCACATTGAATCAGACTTAGTTGTAACTCTACAAAAGAAAAAGCTAAAGACCACTGAGTACAAAAACTTCTATCTGCCTTGCTTATTGAAAGTACACTCCCTGTTTCCTTCTTTTCCACATGGGTGAACCACTTGACTTGGCTTTTTTTTTTTTCTTTAGTCCTCAAAATTATCAAGATCAGGTTGAGCCTCATCTCTGGGGCATGAGACAAGAATGTCAAGAGGCCTGGATCAGCCCTTTAGAGCACAAAGTCACTCTTGGCTGTATTCCCAGGCTGATTCTGCCTTTGTATCCCAGTCTAATACAGTTTCTAGGACCTGCTTCATTCCTAACGACTGAGCCCTGTCTATAACAATGGTTTCTTGAGGATAGCTCACCCTCCAGAAGAATAGCACTGCCTTTCTTTTGATAGATTCTATACCAAGATCACAGGGTGTCTGGTGCCACACCCATTGGTTCTATTTAACAGGTGACTCAGGCACCCTACCTGGTCACTACCTTACTGCAAAGGGAAGTTTCTAAAGCCAAGTAGTTCTAGTCTCTACCAATGTCCACAGACAAACTGACATTAACCAAGCTACCTTGCCTCATTCTTAGCCAGTGTATGTCTTCCTATCTAAAAACAGAACTAGACATTACCTCCTGTTTTTGTCATGTTTACCACTTCCATTAAAATTCTTAGTTTCTAACAATCCTTCCATCCCTTCTCTTTCCTTTCATAAGGCTATTTTCTGAATATTTTGCTCATTTGTGTATCATTGTTATTGTAGCAACATAAAGTCAAATAACTTGAAACCAGGTCTATTTTGATAACATCCAATGTTAAGTATTTGAAGAAACCTGGTGAAATGCAATATTCTCACTTTCCAAAATGCCTACCACATCATGTTGACATATCCAATTGTAGTAATAGTCATTATCAAAGTTCATACCCAATTATGTATTCAGTCCTCTAACAGCAAAATCAATTCACAAAGATAATCTAAGAGAACAGTTTTCTCCCAACTCCCTTTCAAGTACCTTCCACCTCATCTTTCTTCCTGCCCCAAACTCCTGCCCTCTAGTCTCACTCACTGTCTTTCCTGACCTTTCTTTTCCTTCCTCATCCCTGTCTCTAAGCCAGCTTTATATTACAAAAACTAATCTGCCAGAAGTAGAACTTTGAAAGGCTACACAATTCATCCATAAGATTCAAGTATCCACATTGATTAGTTTTTTCAAAATTATGTTCATAAATTCTGATACTATTGACACTTTGGAAAAAAGTGGCTTCATTGGTTAAATATACTGGAGGAAAATGCAGCTTGCTATATTCTCCTGAGAACTCACAAAGTGTGTGAGAATTGTAACACCAAAAGTCTGAAATCTCCCACAGCAAATTAGTTCAATGCTTTGTTGAAACAAAGCACACAATTTATTTGCACACAATGTTTTTGGGGTAGAATATATTTTCAAATCTCTGAAATATGAGATTTCATAAAGAAAATTTTAGAAGCACTACCAAAGATAAAGAAAAATTCCAATCAATAGTTATCTTCTACTTGCATATCTTACCTCTGGCAAACATTAAATATTCCCTCATTTTATGCTTTAGCCAGGCCAAGTCCTTTTGTGATCTCCAGGTATAGACAAAGTAATTATAGATAAACAAGAAGAAGGTTCCAAGAATAAGGAATGACAAAGCAGCATATGTCCTGGGGATACTCCAGGAGAAAATATGGGATGAGCCCAGTAGTAGTGTGTTTCTTATTAGCCTCTAGGAAGCATCTACCTCAACTCCTAATGAGATATCTCCAAATCTAAGAATATTATGCAATAGACTGAAAGTGAGCTTTAAATAAACCAGTTTATACATATGTGGAGCAAAAGCATACAAAGGAAAGTCCTCAGCACTCCTCTCAAATCCCCTCCACAGACAGGACAACTAGCCAGGGTTCTCCTCCCCCTTACCATTACCTAGACAGAAAAATATAGAGTTAACCAGACAGCAAGAAAATTTTAATTAAGAACATAACATTTTAACATACATTTGTAACAGTTACATTTTTTATTTCAGAGAGATGGGACTTCTGCTAAAAAATCATCTGTGTGGAACTTATAGTAATGAACTATATGTGTGTTGAATAGAATATAGCATAAAATATAGAGACATAAAAATGATAGAAATGCAAAAATATGAAACATATTTGTTCTGATTTAGGGATAAGTACTGTTCATACCAATACATTATGAGAGAAAGATCTAAGGACCTGGATCTGGACTACTAATTCCACCACTAGTGCGCAAGGTCACAGAATGACCTGTTTAAAGGCTAAGAGAACTTGAAGTGTGTTCTTCCCTGACAAATTCTATGGTCTTGGCCTACAGTTTAACTTTCCTTAAGGATTCATGTCTAAATGAGAGGCTAGACAGGCTTGTTATGGCTTCTCTATTCTCATCCCTTGCCTCTAAGAGCTAATGTGCAGGATTTCGTGGAACGATTATAAATATCTCGTGCAGAATTGTGTGATTGTGGACTTTTGCCCACATAAGTCACACAGTTTGTGTTCCAAGACTTCCATCTCTCAGTTGCCTGAGGGAAAGGGACAGCTAGAAACAACCACACATTCTACTTTCAGATCCACTGCAGATTTTCCAGGGGTCCAAACTCCTTTCCTATTAATTCCCTGCCCACCAGTTAGGCTGGCCATCCCTTCTCCTACAAGCAGGAATCCCACACCATTCTTCTCATTCACTCTTTATCCCAGCTAAAACAAATGCTAAAATATTAGGCAAGTAGGTTTTATTACACACACACACACACACACACACACACACACAGACACTCACTCACTCACACATATATGGGTGAGAAGGAAGATATCAATTTATTCCATAATTTAGTTTAGAAAAGTTTTCATGGTTTAATAAAAATTATGAATATACAAGTATGTGGATCCATGCCAAAGTTTGAGTGAGGCATAAAAGACTTGTTGCACCCAGCCTAAAAGGAGAAGGAAAGAACTTCTCATTAAGAAGGAATAAGACATAATAATAACTAATAAATAGAAACTGAATTCCCAGAGTGGCAACCTCTTTGTGTTCTTTCCATCACTTGGGTCTGTCCAGGGAGGGTCTGAGGAGCTGTGCATTCCCAACCTTTCATAGAAATGTGTGATTATTTCCAAGAAACAATACTGTAAGAATGATGAAACAATTGTATCAAGTTCTACTTGTGAGAACCATTTGATATGAATATTGAAACAAGTCAATATTATACACAGAAGCTAGTAGCTACAACCCACATATCCCTCCATTTTCATTACATGGAACAAAGGTTAGTTTCTAGATGGTTACAAGTGGATCTTTGCATCATAGTATAAAAGAATCTTTCACAAGATACCGTTTGGAGTAACCATGGTGCCTTTCTTCTGTCGCTGTAGACACTGGTTGGAAATGTATATATCCTTATCTTTGGGGACAGCTATTTTCTAATGTATTCAAAGGTAATAAGGAGAGTCCCTACTTCAAAACATTGTTATGAAGAATAAGGTAGCTTATTTTGTAGAACAAAGTAACTTAAAATATATATATTAGACTATTTGTTGGTATAATTCTATGATGTAGTCCAGCATCACATATCATTTTCCCCAAATTTTGGAGCTCTCACCTACCCATCTCCATTCATTAAGAGAAAGGAAATTGGGGCTTGGCCACAACAGGATAGAACTTGCATAGGAACACTGATTTGCCCCTAAACTGCTCACACTTCGCTTCCATGTTGTTTTGTTTTCTTTTGTTTTTGTTTTTGTGGTAGTCCTGGGATTTGTTCTGATACTGAGAGCATGAAACCACACAAGACTTAGACAAGGCTACAAATAGATGAGTGTTCCTTCCCTTCATAGACAACACATTGGTATTAGAAAATGACTCCTAGCAACCTGAAATTAATTATTGTGGAATGAAACAAAATCTTATGAAATTGGGAGGACTTTTAAGCCTGGTATGGTGTTCATGTCTGTTATCTTAAAATTTGAGAGGCTGAAACAGAAGATTATGAGTTTGAGGCCAACCTGGGTTATATGGTGACACCTTGTCTCAAAAACCAGACAAGAGAGACAAGAGAGAAAGAGAAAGAAAGGAAAGGAGGGAGGAAAGGAGGGAGGGAAGGAGGGAGGAAAGGAGGGAGGAAGGAAGGAAGGAAAGAAAGAAGGAAGGAAGGAAGGAACTGTTAATCTTATTAATCACAGACCTTTGATAGTAGGTGAGATTTATGC